TATAAATTAAAAATAAAACAAAAAACAACAGAATAAAAACAAACTGAAAAAAGCAAATCAATTTTTTTTAAAATAATAAAAGCCAAAAGAAACGAACCAAAACGAAAGTTCCATTTCCCTCTGTTGTAACTGGAGGAAGGATGTGCAACTCTTCCGTAAACTGTATTGCAATGTCAGAGCATGCATGGTTTTAGGTCGCGTTACATAGCTCTTATATCTTTTAGTTTCCCCGGCGTGTTACTGTCCGTGTGCATAATATTATGTGTGTGTGTGTGTGTGTGTGTGTGTGTGTGTGTGTGTGTGTGTGTGTGTGTGTGTGTGTGTGTGTGTGTGTGTGTGTGTGTGTGTGTGTGACACACACCCTTCCCCTCCACACAGTAAAATAGGAAACTCTAACAGGTAGAAACACGGGGGGGGGGGGGGGGGTGGTTAGGAAACGCAAAGAAGGTAGGAAACGCAAAGAAAAACAAGGGGGAAAAAGTAGAAAAGCTCCATAAAGTAGGAAACCAGTCAAATCTGGCCTATGTTGTTTCCAGGCGAATAATATTGATTTCAACATCCATTTATCGTCTCTACACATTCATTCTTACTTTTCATTCATTATTAATTTTCCAGTCTTCGCTAGGTACATTATGTTATATTATATGTACGCTATATATACACATTTGAACTGACTCGATACGCTGATAACATACGTTATGGTACAACAAATAATGAAAAGTTATTGTTCTAGCAAAAGAGAGAGGACCTAAGTGGTCCAGGTTTTAACAAATCTATTTATTATTATTAATATCATTATTGTTATTATTGTGTTGTTGTTTTTTAAAGTAATATTATTTTCAAGCAAAGAACGAATGGCAGTAACAGGTATGTGACCTGACTCATACTGTAAGAATAACTTTAAAGAAAATTTTATTTTTAGATATCAGACTAAGTCATAGAGGCAAAGCTACAAGACTGTGAAACTGTGATTAGAAAAATGCTTCTAATTTTCCAACATATTGTTTGTTTTTAAATTGGCATCTTTAGTTCTTCGAATTAAATACGAGAGTGTAACTTGGGAGATAAATACAGGGTGATCCAAAAAAACTTTACAAATTGTTTTGTAAATATCTTTCTCCATACAGAAGTTTTGCGTTTCAGATTTGAACGCAACGTTTGGAAGCCAAAAGGAATTTTTCTGATATGTATTTCAGATAAGTCGATTGAATGGTTTTGCTCTATATAGCACATTAAAAAACAACAACCCACTTTCAACCTTGTCGCCATTTCCATAGCATGACGCACCAGTTCGCATTAGGCCTACCACTAAAAGTTGCAACGATCGCGCCATATGGCAAGCTACAGCAGTCTAACAAGTCAACAGAAGTCTGCAGATATTATTTTTCCCACATTGTGTTTGCCTGCTGAGATCATGGCTACGTTTAATAAAGAGCAGAGAGCTTTTTGTATTGAACATTACCTCTCCACAAACTCACCATCCCTGACAATTCGTAAGTTCTGCGCACGGCATGAAGAGAATGCTTAGGTGCCCTCAAGACATTTTTCATCATGAGTAGAGAAGTTCCGTCAGTTTGGATCTATATTGAATCAGAACTAAAAACTTCTTTAAAAAATGACCACTTCAGGTCGAACACGCACCATGTGCAGCTCTTTAAACGTAAATCAGTGTGCAGATTTCAGTAGCCGAGTCCCATGAGACGTCTGTCCGTTGACGATCTGCAGCTAGGGCTTTTCTACACCTCAACAGTCTGCTTTCTCATGGCAGATCTTAACCTACGACTATACCATGTTCATCTTCGCTAGGCCGAGATGAAATGAATCAGAGCATGGCAATGTGTTCATGATTCCTCGATTGTCTTGTAAAAAGGGATCATTTCGTCGATGACATTTGGTTTAGTGCAAACCCCATTTTCACCCTGCGGGAGATGTTAACTCCAAAAATGCTGTCTATTGGGCACCCCACTCTTTTGTCTCTAGAAGCTACTTTTTAGTGAACATGTACAGTGTATGTGGCTTTAAAAACCCATGGTTTAGCGGGTCCTTGTGTTAGGGCGCCACTGAACATTTCGAGTCCAAAGGAGGGAATGTGGAGCACTGCTTCTAGGAATTTCATAATGAAATCATTAGGTTTTAAAACTTGTAAAAGAAATGAAATGTTGTTTAATTGTCACAGGGACTGAACATCAATGTCGAAGAGAAATAAAGGAAAAAGTCAGCTAATCTTTTCACGACTTCCTTCACAAGATTTTGAAACATTGGTGAACTTTGCGTTTTTGGGTGCTTTTTTTCTTTTAGCCGTTTCTGTTTTCAAAACATGTTTCTTCTTCGTGGATTTTATATCAAACAAATTCCTTTTCAATGAATTATGTCTGTTCCAAATTACAGCATTCTAGAACAATTTTTGGGCGAGACATTCAGAAAAAAAATTGTAAATTTTTTTTGGATCACCCTGTAGTTATTGTCTAAGTGAAAAGTTTCCCCTGCCATGGGAGCAAGATGGATTATGCTATATATATAATTCATACGTTCAAAGGGCGCTCAGAAAATCTTTACTCTAACAATGAAGAAAAAAGCAAGCTAGAAAGTTGAAAATTTGACACTCACATTGCGATTTCTCTTCATACACACACTGCAAATTGACATGTTATTGCCATCTGTGTTTGACCTTCAAAATCGTGTTAGCACAAAGTGATCTCGGACGAGACTCAAACCATTGCTTCACTGGAGACATACCATCTTCATCATTAACGAAACCCTGTCCTTTGAAAAACGACTATTTCCTTTTTGGAAAAAGTTTTAAAAAATAAATTTTTAAAAAAGGTCAGAGAGTGCTGTCAGGTGGAAAAGGTGGGTGTTTCAGAATTCTGTAGCGTCAATGCTCTGTGCTCTCGAACATTGTTCGGCACCAAGAGATGTTGTCTTTTGGTAATCAAGAGCCGTGTTCGAAAAAAAATGCTCTAAATGGGATTTTCTAAGAATTCGACACTGAAATCTAAACAGGTAGAAATTACATTCTTCAAGTTTCACTGTTTACGACAGTTCTTTCATAGTCGGGGTAAGGACTTAATGAACGCCTCTCGTATGTTTGATATACACTGTATATTATGTGGAGAGAGATAAAGAAAGAAACGAGAAAGAGAGAGAGAGAGAGAGAGAGAGAGAGAGAGAGAGAGAGAGAGAGAGAGAGAGAGAGAGAGAAGTATTGGCACTTATATGATCTATTTGTGTTGCAAGTGCCGTAAAACTCTCACTATAAGTAAACGAAAAAAAACTTTTAATACCAGCCAAGGGTGATCACAAGGAATAAAATCCCATCCCGTTGTCTCCTCATTTGGCAATAAACATTTAGAAAGATAACCCTGGGTCATTATTTCACAAAGAGTTTTTATTATTACATATGACATGTTCTTAATGTTTTACAACCTTGTCATCATATATTACAACCTCCAGCTCAAGAGGTGGCTCTGCACTGTAGAAAATGCTGTAAAAACACATGTGTCACAACGCGGTGGAATCAGGCGCTCGGCAATTTTGGGGCACACGAAGTTAGTGAAATTGTTTGAACGTTTCTTTATTTATCTTGTATTCGTTGAGGAAAAGACCAGTGCTCTTGAAGAGAAGTGGAAATATTTGCGATTCATTAAAGGAGATTGGGGTCCCCAGGTATCAGAGGCAAAATTACCGAGAAAATAGCCGCTAAAGTATTGTCACTTACAAAGGTGTAGTGTCTTTGGAAACGATAAATTTATATTTGTGTGTCTTTTATCAACTTTTTGTCAGTAACATTCACACAGAAATGTGTTTTTAAATTAACATAAAGTGTGTTGTTCAAGGGCAATTGGTGACCGTAGTAAATGGAGGGTCATTACACGTCAACCTCTGAGTCAGAGATGACACCTCTAGGTATCCAGGTATCAAAGGTGTTGAGACCCCCTAAAAATTTAATTGATTAAAAAAAAGAAAAGAAGAAAAATATATTAAAAATTGCCTCATAAACAAAATGCTTGTTTCTTTGATTTCATTAATTTGACAAGCACCTGATTTCACCACGATGCCTCACATATCTTACATCCGTAAAGCTCGCAGATATCCAGTGCATCATGAACGGTGTACATATCGGGTGGATGGAGGGAGCCACTGGTGGGTACTTCTTCTTTACTGTCTGTCTGTCTGTCTGTCTGTCTGTCTGTCTGTCTGTTTGTCTGTCTGTCTGTCTGTCTGTCTGTCTGTCTGTCTGTCTGTCTGTCTGTCTGTCTGACTGTCTGACTGTCTGTCTGCCCGTTTATTTTGTTTATTTTCCAACACAAAATCATGCTACTGTTTCAATGCGTTTCTCATCATTCCAAACCCACAAAGTGCACAGCGATGTTGTAGTCAAAATTGCCACAACACTCAAGCATCAATGTGGCTTATCCTTTTGTAAAGAACACCCCCACAGTCCTCTCTGTAACTTTCTGGGGTACTGTAAGACTTTACTTCTCCTCCACCGAAGTTCTCTTTCAAAGAACACTGACAAATTGTAAATGGACATTCCTTTCGTAAATAGCATTGAGTGCAGATTGTTCGTTTTAGACATTAGGGCGCAGAGCGTCCCAACTCAGAGTCTCTTCCGTCCATGACAACATACTTGAAAAAAAATAAGAAGAAATGGTGAACAGTCTCACCGGATCAGTTTCTTTATAAATCTGTTCAAGCAAACATGGTTCGCCTTAAGTAGCGATTGGCTGTGAGAGGTGATAGTATTATTATTTTACAGGTAGCCAGCCATAGTGCCATGCTGCTGTCACGTAAATGCCACTCATGATCATTCCCTTTCATAAGATGCGGTTCCTGTTTCAAGACGTAGAGCTGGTAGAACCAATGGATAGTAACTTCATGTACATAACGTTTCACTGTTTGTGAAAAGGGCATTCCTTTCGTATAACTTCAAGTCATATTATTCGCTGCCGTCACCTTAGAGCGGCAGAAAGTTCCAAAACAAACATAACTTTTCAACCTTTTTGTTCACGTCTCAAAATATTTAGAATCTACGACGTTGCCTAAATGGACACAATTTAAAAAATTAAAGGTACAATACATAGTATGTTAACTTGTACTTCCATTTGATCTCACAAGGTTTTTGATTTGTCTCAAAGATGGTTATGTAGACTTTTTGATGGTGTTCAGGTTGGTCTGAAGAAGACATACGAATTAGTGCCGGGAGATTTTGAAAAAACAAAACTTCATCGATGCTTCGAAGTGTAAGTCACTATTGAAAATCATGTGCAAATTGTGTTTTGCTTTATATATTATGTCCATAAGCAACTTTCAGTATTCAAATATTCTATACTCTTTCTCCTTCTACTTTGCACTATGTCTCGTAATAATCAATTAAAGTATAGAAATTTCATACACCAAGTTTTGCTATATTTATCTCCTTGTTTTTAGATACAGCATGCTCTAATGTTACGTTATGTTGATTAATTCATTACTAGTAAAAATTACATGGCATTCCAATCTCGAATTGGTACGGCTCTAATGAGAATCGAGCTCCCTTATGCACAGCCTGCTGTTTCTGGCTGAATACTACAGTGTTCCCCCTCCCCCTTTCTCCCACAAAGGTTTTTTTAAAAACTACCAGCTCATCTTTCATAATATAACGTGTTACAGAAGTCAGGTTGCTTATTATGGAAGATATAAAAGCAGTGTTCATGCCCACGATCTCACTCCAAAACAAGTTTTGTGTACTCCGTTGTATTTCCTTTATGGGCTATCTTTCGGCCCAGACTCCAACTTTCGAAGCAATCTGCTTCATGACGGCTGCATACTTCTGCACTCTCGGAGCTATTGAGTAAGACACCAAAAAGCGATTCACGTTTCTTGCTATGAGAAAGTCTCGAAAATCCGCCTCGCCTTAAAAATCATTACTCCCTCTGAAACCGCTGATGTCATCACAATTGGCGAATCGTATTTTCACGACGAAAGCGGAAGTGACCTTCTTTGAAAAGGAAGTCGTGTCTTTCAGGACGCAGTGATGCAGTGTCGTGCCCAGGCGTGTCCATCTATCTACACTGGCTCAGTTTGAGCAGTTTGGTGCAGACTTTGCACTTGACGTAGCAGCACCAAATGTACTTGCACTCACAACGCTCCGTGACCTCCATAGTGAAGTTGTTGTAGCCTCGACCACAGCACATTGAGTCGCAGTTGCCAGGGCCCCAGCCCGAGGATTCACATAATCTGCAGGCAGAGAAAACAGTTACTTGTTAGAAGCACAGATTCTATGGCGTAGCAGTTAGGCGCTTGGCTGTTGCACGTAAAAAATCCGAGTTCAATTACCTCGGTAGGAACATTGTCGTTGAGAGTCCCGGGTTTTTTTCGGCTGGGATGCTGTATCCCTCCTCTCAGTCCAGGTTAGCCGTGGGAGAAATAGAAGCAGTAGAAGCAGGAGAAGGAGGATGAGGAAAAGGAGGAGGGGGGTGAGAAAAAGGAGGAGGAGGTGAGAAAAAGGAGAAGGAGGAAAAGGACGGAGAGGTGGAGGAAAAGGAGGAGCAGGAAGATTAAGAAAAGGAGGAGGGGGTGAAGAAAAGGAGGAGGAGGAGGAGGGGCAGCGAGAGCAGGAGTAGGACAAACGTGAGAAAATAGAACAAGAGATGAAAAATGTTTACATCTCTAAGGACGCGCGCGCACACACACACACACACACACACACACACACACACACACACACACACACACTCACTCAAACACACACACACACACACACACACACACACACACACACAAAATAAACGAACTATTCGTGTATAAATCACAAGCTTCGCAATTTTGCCATATACATTTGTATACTTTATACCCATAATACTGTTCTATATAAAACAACTGTTAAGTAATTTTAAAATGTGCCATTATCTCATAAAACTATAATACTGGAATACACATTGGGTACTTTTTATAAAAAAATAGAAATGCGCAGCATAAATGATTACTACAAATTTTATCCACAGAGGTACTGACCTTCCCCTAGTGCCCACAGAGCCAGTCTTGGAGTCTGGACTGCAATAGTCAGGGCTCTTCTCGTAATAAACCAGCTCATCATCTCTGAATGAGGCGCGGCCTTTATGTATCGGAATCAGGACTTTCATCTTCTTCCGTCTCTTCCTTCTCACCTACAGATATACAAATGAAACACACAAACAAACAAACTTTACAAAAGTATTGAGAGGAACGGCATGGGCTCTACGCCTCTACATTCAGTATTGTATCACGTGACTCGGTTTCTGTGTTTGTACTTGAAGTGATATTATTACCATGGTGGACCAATTGTTTACAGAGCTGTGACATGACGTTACAACATCATCGTGATTTAAGACCAGGCATAAAAGTGACCTATAATTATCGAAGAGGCACTACATTCGATCAATTGTTAAGCTATGGTGTGATTTGGCTGTTAATTTTGTTTGTTTGTTTGAATAAGGAAAAGTATGTCAACACAATAATGGTCATTTATCACTAGGCAAAAGTAAGAAAGACAGAAACGACAGAGGGAAAGAAAAGAATTAGGACTTATCAGTGGCACCCTCCAACCACCCTACCTGATGTATGTATTTAACGACCTTCTCAACATTATTAGGTTATTTTAGATACACATACAGCCCTTTCAAAAATGATCTGTGACAGGATCAAACAAACTTGACAGACAGAGCCTCGAAAACTCGTGAAACAAGCGAAATTCGAGATGATGTCATTAAACCAGCTGATCAAAGGCAATGTTGCCATTCTGCACACTTCGAACCATCATACAGACCCCGCCCCCTCCCCCCCCCCCCCCCCATCCCAACCCCAAACCATATATTCCATAGCATACTTGCGTTTTCAAGTTTCAGATAAAGGTATTTAATGCCAGAACTGAAAACTCTGTTTGAGTAACGAAGTTATACTTTTTTAAAGAGTACCCAATAGCTTGTCTTCAGTTGAATGACCAAAATGGATGTCATTAATGAGTTCTAAGTTGCTGAGAAGGTCGCTTTTCAGGGCAAATACTATGATTTTTAGCCTGACCTGCTATATATTTAACTGTATCAAATATATAAATGCATGTGCGTGTGTTATTAGTTTCTGTGCAGTTTGTGCAATCTCAACATCTCTCAACACTCTTATATTTTTGTAGAATCGTCGTGGACAAAACGGAAAACTTAGCAGCAAGAGTTTTGTTGGTTTGTTAGTTTTTAAATATTCTTGGAAGAGATAAGAGATTGTTACCTCCACTGCCAGGGCGTATCTGTCTTTCAACAGGGCTCCTATAGAGTCGAAACTGGGCAGAGCTCTCCAGCATGTCTTGATGGAACAGGATCCGGAAACCCCGTGACATTTGCAGGCTTGTGTAAGGCTGTCGGCCACCACCTGCCGGGGACACAAGGGAAAATACAAGTGAGCGGCTTGGACCGGGATGTTTACTCGCACTGGGGAGGGCACAAGTCAATGGTTATTTTTTTTCCACCTTGTCTTCTGAACATACCGTCACTTCTTGGTGGTGGAGAGCTGTTGTGAGTGTTCAGCAAGAGGGGGCTCTGGCCCACATGCTTAAGGCATTTGAGTCACGACGCGGTGGAATCAGACGCTCGATCGTCAATTTTTGGGGTATACAGAGTTGTTTGGCATTATTTTAAAGGTTGTTTATATTGCGTTCTTTAGATGAAAACAGATGAGTGGCATCTTGGTAAAATTACGCGCTCGTCAACAGAACAAAATTGAAAAAATCAGCTTTTTTCGTTCGTTGGGTATATATTTTATTTCTCTTTTTTTGGCGCAATACCACGTATGTCCATTTAAAGATACATTTTTCAGTGGATTTTACTGTAAAATGTTGATCAAATGAACTAATTTAAATGTACATCAGCAGTTTCTAAGGAAACCCAAGCTTTTAAAAAGTCAATAAACTTGGGTGGACATTTTCTCACTAAGTTTTACCTCTGACACCAGGCGATACACACACCCTTCTATTCCAGATAGATGGATACTGTTTTTCACTAAAAGCGAGATATATAACAAATGTTACGATGATACCAATTACTGTATGCCCCCAAAAGTTATCAAGCGTACGATTCCACCGCGTTGTGACACAAATATTTATATATCTTGAATAAAAGTAAAGGTATTTGGCATCGAAGGAAATTGGGCGTTGTCTGGTGTCAAAAGTATATTTGTGAGAAAATGACCGATACAGTTTGATGACCTCAAATGATGTAGTGTGCTTGCAAGTTGCAAAATTATAATATTATTATTATTCTGCTTTTGATCAATGTTTTTATCTCAGTGAAACCAAAGTAAAAATGTGTTTTCAAATTGATGTAAAAGCTATTTTGCCAACAACAAAAAATAGCACCCCCCACCCTCTCCCCCACCAAAAAATAACAAAACAACAACAACAACAAACAAAAATACAAAAAACAACGAATAAGATAAGAATTGACCAATGCGGCAGAAAAATGCCGACTTCTTCGATTTCATTATTTTGACTAACGCCTGATTTCACCATGATATCAGACGTTTACTTCAGAAATGTTTGACTGCTGACAATACAGACATTTCACACTGAAAGTACGTTCAGGAAAGTATTAACATTGCTAAAAACACAAGGGTTTTGGTAGCTCGAAATGGGCTGGAAGTTAAGTATTTCTAAATTCGATTTCAATGTACACACACGAAAACCAGTCGTATTAACCGTATGAAATAGCTCTAAAGATCAAACCGTATTCCAGATTTTGCGAGATAACATTTTTGTCTCTATTTCTCTCAGTCTTGTAGGGAATATGTGTGTGTGTGTGTGTGTGTGTGTGTTTGTGTGTGTGTGTGTATGTGTGTTTGCGTGTGTGTGCGTGTGTGTGTGTGTGTGTGTGTGTATTTGCCTTGAAACCCTTCAATTTAAAAGTGGCTCGCGCCAGGCTTCTCAGGCGGAAAAAGAAATGGAGGTAACGCTGAGAAATTATTTGGGGGTTTTTTTCGATGTTGTTTTTGTGGCGTGATCTTGCTTTATCCTCCTGCACCAAATCATTGTTACTCTGCAGATGTACACTTCTAGCTCAAAGAAACAACCAACCAACCAACCAACTGAATGAACAGGGAAACAAAATGCACCTCATGGGTGGGAAAAAGGGGACGGGCAAAAGGTACCATTTTAAACACAATACGACCGCTTTGACTCGAAAGCTTAAAAAACAAACTCTTTTGCTTTGAAGTTCACAGTCAAATCTAGTTGAATTCGATCAGATGAATCTGACTGGCACGGAGCATTGGTTTGTTCCGCTTGTTTTTTGTTTGTTTGCTTGCTTGTTTGTTTGTTTATTCGTTTGTTTGTTCGTCTGTTTATTTGAGCTTTAGAAAATGACATCAACACAATAACAGTAATTTGGATCAGTGAACCCCCCCCCTCCCAACCCACAAAAAAGCAACAACATTTCGA